AAAAAAGAGTCCCGACCTGAAATATGTCGATGGGCATATATGAAGGAAGGAATTCGGAAGGCCTATCCGTGCCACGCCGCCCACATCTACAATGATGCTCTCCCGATTTTGTCAACTGCGAAATATCACGGATTGCTTACAAAAGTGAAAAATACTTGTTTTTAAAACAACGGTTGAGGCAACGACTCACACACTCATATCCCTCCCCCAAGACTTGTACAATAACACCCGTAGTATCGCCCTCTAATGTCACGATTACGAGATAAATTTCAAGGCAGGAAGGAGAAAAAGGAATCAAAGCACAAATGAGGGAGGGTGCATACAAAAAGCGAAAAAGAATGGGGCCACCCGGGGATTGAACCCGGGACCTCTCGCAAGAATGCTCAGGATTGAACCCTAAGCGAGAATCATACCACTAGACCAGCGGCCCTTGTTATTGGATGTCTGTATCCGCATAATGATAAGCTTACATAGGGCTCGTAGTGAAAGGTTGTGCTGTTGACTGGTGCTGAGGCTGGAATAGGGTAATGGTTGTGATGCATCGCGACTACTTTGATACGTGCGCTACACTACCGGATGACTTTGGAAAGATGCAAAATAGGGGCTGAATTCTTAGGTATTCGTTTAGCCATCTTGCCTTGTTGAGATTATCCCAAATCGCTGCCACAATGGGGAGTGTCTTGATGCAGCGCGCCGGCAAAAGCGGTCGCTGCACCAACTGGCAGCTGTCGCCCACCACCTCCACAATTCATCTCTGGTTTCCGCAAGGTTTCCTCCAACTTCTGCCGGCAACCTCATTCTCTTCCTCTTCTTGAGCTTACATTTTACCCGATTCATCAACCGGTGTCTTCCACCCCATTACCTCGCTTACAAAACTAATGCACGCTTGATGGCGATGCATCGTCGCCCATTATCTAGGCTTTCCTCAATGGCACGCCAGTCGACTATCTCTCAATTATTCTTGCTCCAATTGCCTTGTTCTGTTATGGCTGTTTAGGACCAACACTAAATCGAGCCCATTCATGTTCTGCCGTCGCCTTTCCATTCCCACCTCCAACCACAAACTTCAGTCACCATCAACCCACTCCGGACATGACCGTCTGCGCTTCTAGGCAACCAACAGAACCATCCAAGCAACCCCTCTCCCATTCGCGTCTATTCGCCCAATAAAATTATCAAAAATCGCCAGTCCGAGACCTCGCATGCGTGGAACATGTGCTATTGGGGCACAGCTACGGCAAGGTGAGCCGACCCAAGCGAGGTGCGTATCGTCTTGGCAGGGGATTGGACTATTGCAGAACCAATACGGCGTGGTATTGAGGCCAAGATTGTGATGCACTCAAAAGGACCGTACTGTGCCCTTAAAAAGGATGAGCGTGGCTTAGACGCCTAACTTCTTTCAGCTGAGTGAGGCTTGGGCTGTTGTCAGCACCAGTTCAGCACACTCACACTCAACTCACGATCAGGCGAGTCAGCCCCCAACATGTGCATGGCGTTGATGACATGACCTTCCCTTGAACAGCAATTACTCTCTTATATGCTAGTTGAGTTCATAATTGCTCCTTATTGGGGCATTCCCTTTTGCATTTCTCCTTTCCACCATTATCTTGCGCTCACAGCGATGCCCGGCGAGAACGACGTGAAGCTTCCTCGAGCCACGCCAGCTCGATTCACAGCTCGATTCACCAAGAACAGCCTATTGCGCGGCACAGCTAGTAGTTTCATCACAGCCTAGCCTAGGAATGGTGATGTCGTGATTCGCCTGCCAAGAAATCCACCGAACTGTCAACGCCGCCCGGACAATCCGGAGTCCCTGAACTTCCACCCTGGGGCATTAGCCCCCAAGGATCCCTCGAGCGCTCTCATAGCAAATGCCCCTAAAGTGTGGGACGAGAGTTGCTACCTTCATTCATGACGCTCGGCTCCCTCCAACTGCAATGTCGGATGAGTTATGGCCGAGTGTCTTGGCCATATTGCAGAGGTCAGAGGACATTCCCACAGCCAAGAACCACCACAAAGACCGTACCTAAACAGACTTCGCTCGATATTAAGGCACCGCAAATCTTTGCCTGTTTTCTTCCTTCTCCCCAGGTCTTCCATGCATTGCTCATGCATGAAATATCCATCTTCCAATTCCTTGGGCCCGCTAAGTAGTCGCAGTCACACTGGAAACGCTCCGAACTTTTGCCCACATGGGGCAAAGCGTGGCAAGGTCTCATCCCATTGCAGGTCTTCTATCGAACCACTTTCTTGGTATCTTCCGTCGGCGATTTTTGGGTTCCAAAGATTGTGGGCTGCACCTCTGCGGCACAGCAAGTCATGGCAATATCACGAATCCCATCACGACGACAGGACCTGCGATGGCCTTGTGTCAGGGCGCGGCTAGGCTCCTGAAATAAGCGACCTCAGACCTGATATAGACATGGTTTATTCGGCGCGCCGGAACGTACCTTTTTACTTATTAGATGAACAAATCAGCAGCGCAGTATCCGATCGTTGTCCAACAGAACACGGTACCTGCGCCTTGAAGCTGGAAGTTCAAGCGCAGTATACCCGCCAGTATGAGCTTCCTTGTCCCTGCACACAAAGGTTCCAATCCTTCACAAAAATTTAGACTAGTAGACAGGCTACCTCCATCACTGCTGAAATTGTGATGTTAACATGCGGAGGTAGCGAGTAAGGAACCCCTGAGAAATTCGCAAGCCAATGCCCAAGCTGGAGACTCCTGTCCTACATCGTACGGTACCTGCGCCTTGTCAAAGCCTCCCAAGATTGTCTGTGCCTTTCAGTGTAATCCATGACCGCAAAAGTTCCAATATCCTGGCTTGTCGGCGTAACAACGTCACTCACAAGGCTGAATTTGGGTTGATGCGTTCAGGTAACCTCCCTCCTTGTCTTTTGGAGTCCCGGATACTGATCACCGGAGTTGCTATAAGTACGGGCTCGTGGAACTGCATTTTGAAGATGAGAAGAAGCACACAAAATCAACACAGCTCAAGAGCCTTGAGAACCTCAAGAAGTCAGCAGCACCTCTTGAAGTTCTTCCGAAATTCAGCTTCACCCCGAGTAACTCAACCAAACACCAACTCACTCGAGCACCACATCGACAACGACTCACTTCACAAAGTCAGAACCATGCTTTCCAGTACCCGCTCCCTCATCTGGGGTGGCCTACTGGCCCTAGCCTCCTTTGCCACCGCCTCCCCAGTTGCAACCGGTCCCCTCCCCATTGCCATCCGCGACTCCTCTCCACCTTCTTCCCTCGAAAACCGCGATTACAACACCTCCTCCCTTCTCTCCCCCGTCGTCTTCATCCCGCCAACCATCCAACAAGACCTAACCAGCCTGCTCTCCCCATCCGCCCTCGTCATCCTGCCCTCCTCCCCTTCTTTCCCCCAATACACCTCCCGCTGGTCCCTCAACACCCGAACCAACTCCCCATCCTACGCAGTCATCGTCATCCCCGCTTCTGAGCGCGACGTCTCCCTAACCATCCAATACGCCAACGCCCATTCGATCCCCTTCCTCGCCACCACCGGTACCCACGGCACCTGGCACGGTCTGTCGAAGCTGCAGGGTGGCATGGCCATCTGGACGCGGAACCTAACCAAGATGGAGTTTGCTGCCGACGGCAACTCCGCCACTCTCGGTGGCGGGCTGCGCGGTAACGACGTCGTTCCTGCGCTTTGGGCTCGTGGGAAACAGACTACCACCGGCTCTTGCCGCTGTGTCTCCCTTCTAGGGCCAGCGCTAGGTGGTGGACACGGTTGGTTACAAGGCCAGTACGGCTTGGGAGCAGACCAGATCTTGTCTGCGCGTGTGGTTCTTGCAAACGGCACGGCGGTTAAGGCGTCGAATACCGAAAACAGCGATTTGTTCTGGGCGTTGAGAGGAGCCGGACATAACTTTGGAGTGGTCACCGAGGTGGAGTATAAGCTTTATGATGCTGTCAGACCCAACTGGGCGTATCAGAGCTTTACTTTCACGCAGGATCGACTCGAGGATGTGTATAGGGTGCATAATGAGGTCATGAAGAACCAGAACCAGTATGTGGTTTATTGGAGTTTGTGGAGGTTGGTGCCAGAGGTTGATGCTGTTAATGTGAGTCTTTTTTTCCATTTCTTTTCCTTTCCTCCACCTTTTCGTTCCATGTCCACCTTTTCCGTTCTTTCCACCCCTTCGTTTCCATCTTCCACTTCCTTGACGCAGAATCACTAACACAACCCACCCACAACAGCCAATCCTAGTCTCAACAGTCTACTACAACGGCCCCGCCTCCGAAGCCTTGCCTTACTTCGCCCCCTTTGCCGCTCTCAACCCCCTTGATACCACCCCCGTCCAAACAACCGACTACCCCGGCCTCGCCGCCGCAGCCCAATTCCGCGTAACAGACTGGGCCTGCCAGCCCAAAACCGGCGCCACCGTCTATGGCATGGACGTAGACACCTACGACCTCCCTGCCCTGCGGCAATCCTACAACTTTCTTAGCCAAATGATCCGCACCGAGCCCGCCTTGTCCGCTTCAATGGCTTATCTCGAAGGCTACTCCCTGCAAGCAGTACAAGCGGTTCCCTACGAAAGCACAGCCTTTGCTCTTCGCGATAGGAAGCTGTTGTACGGGTTCTTGGTGACGTATGAGGGGGCTACGAATAAGACGTTGGATGCACAGGCGCAGAAGTGGGGAGAGAAGATCCGGAATGCGGCGTATGGAGGCGTGAGCAGGAAGTATGCGTATGTTAATTATGCTAAGGGGAGTGAGACGATGCAGCAGATGTATGGGTATGAAGGGTGGAGACAGGAGCGGCTGAAGCAGCTGAAACGGAAGTATGATCCGCGGGGGAGGTTTAGTTTTTATGCGGGGATTAAGGCTTGAGTATTCCGGGGTTGAGTTGGATGTGCGTCAGGGGGGAATGAAGAGGAGGTGTTGTGGCGGAGGTGCTTGAGGGTGAATTTGTTGTGATAGAGGAAGGACGGTTGAAGTTTGAGTTCAGGGACTAGTGGACTAGACTACTAGGAAGGGCGATCGAGGCTTCTTGATAGATTGGGTTGTAGACATGGACTGGATTAGATGTAATAGAACTGATATAGTGTTGGAGGCACGTGCACGGGT